AGCGAAAACAAAACGAGGGGGAGTGGGGAAGGAGATGGTGGGATATCACGCGTCCTGCTAGTGAGGGGGCTAGCTGGTAGGATGGGAATAGGGCATAGCAGCAGCGGAGATGGTGGCTCTGCTGCAGTAAGTCTTGCCGGAGTAAGGTAAAGTGGATGGATGGGGAGGTTTTCTGAGCAGTACTCTGAAGTTTGTCGTAGTCATTTTCTAAGTAGCTTCGTTTTTTCTGAGCCAAAGCCGGGTAATGGCCTCGGTATCTCAATTTTCAAAATCGTATGTAAATTTTCATATCGGACGCTGGACCCAATTCCCAGCACGTGCTGCTCCCCACGAATAGATTGGAGCCTTGAGCCTTGTTCCCATAAAAAAAAAAAAAAAAAAAAAAAAAAAAAAAAAGGAGAGGTCCTAAAGGTAGTCGTGGCAAGCCCGTGGTGAATAACTTGTGCTATCATAATGTGGTATTCTTTCCTGTATTGTCTGTAATCAGGCCCAAGAAAATCATATTGAGAAGTTGCCCTCCCATTCGGTCCGGGTTGTCGATCAGGAGCCGTATGTGGATGTGCACCTGCAAAACTCTAAAGCTTCCGGATCCGGCTGACTACCTGTGTCGGCAAGTCTGGATGTCAGTTTGGTTGACTGACTGTGTGCTTGCCTGCGTCAGTCTCTGCCTCTCTCTCTGTCTTTCTGTTGAGCAGGCGGGCGGGTGGGCAGACAGACAGACAGACAGTGAAACAACCAGACAGACAAACAAACACAAAATGTCAGACAAAGAGATGGCCAGGCAGACACAAGGACAGACAGAGAGACAGAAGAAGAGACAAACAGAAAGATCAACAAATTGACAGAGACTGGGGCAGACAGGCAAACAGACAGACTGAGTCAAGCAAACAGACATACAGACCGACTGACAAACACAGACAGATAGAGTGATAGACGAACGAACGGACGGACGGACAGACGAACACACACATGGACGGACAGACCGTCGAACCGACGGATAGACACACCCGCGAACGAACAAAGACGGGCAGATGGATGGACAAAGACAGACAAAGAGATCGAGAGGGAAGAAAAGACCAACAGAAAGACGAACTGGTGCAGACAGGCACACAGGTAGTCAAACAAACAAACAGACGCATGACTGTAGCGGACCCACCGGGTGTGGTGCTCCGCCTGGGTTGAGATGGAGATGGAGGAAGAAGGGGGGAGCGAGATGGCACAACGCAGCTCCCCACGCAAGACTCCAACGCACGTACTCCAAAATGTGCAAGTGAAGAATGATCTGAAAAACAGACAATGGTTGGGGTATACCTCAGCGGATTGGACTGGACTGGACTGGCTGACACCGACAGAGGTACCGGCCTGGACTGGACTGCCCCCGAATAGAACACAGGCCTGTGAGAACAGGCCAAGGGGCTGGTCTCACAGGCCAACCAGAGGTCCGCTACACGATCCTCGGCCTGTGATGGATCACCTAGATACAAACACGCTTCCGCCAAGAAGCGGAACTCTACCGAAGAAAAAGAAAACCTGAGTAGTCTAGGATGCCGAGCGAGCTCCATGCTGAGTCCATGCGATGCAACCTAGGTTAGAAAATGACACAAAACAGCAATGTCACAGCTAACAGCCTAAATAAAAGCAGAAGCAACTAACTAGCATACATGTCCTAGGAAAGCAGAAGCAACTTACTACCATACATGTCTTAGGAAAACATAAGGTGATCTAGAATGTTGGAGGCAGTAGCCTCTCCGAAAACAGCTAACTAGTATATAAGTCCTAAGAACAGCAAAGCAGAACAGCTAAATCCTAGAAATGTCGGAGGCAGTAGCCTCAGTCTGAGAGCAACAAAGCAATCAACAAGACAACCATATGTCACATGAGAAGTGTGTCACAAACCAAAGGGTGGGATGGTCTCTGAAGGTGGCGAATGCAGCCTAGGGGTCGATAACTCCTAAGGGCATCCACATATAGTGACAGGGGGAACACATGTCATCAGGCTCAATGAGGGTAGGGAACTGGGAGTGAACAGAACCAATGACCCTAATAGATAGACCATCAGGGCGGGTAATGCTCGACTAAGGGGTGACCGCTATGGACGGTCGACCATGCAAGGGAACAAGGGAACCTGGTATACTGGGCGCACCTAGATGAAGCATGCGGGGCTGCCTAACTAGGGCGTGAGGGCCGGCAGAGGGTAGAAAGGTGATGGGTAAGGGAATCATGCAAATGACTCCTAAGGTGGGGAAGTCGAAGCTAGATCCGTAAGATGGGAAGCCAGGGCAACGCTACGGTCCCGATGCCTATGCGTATACCAAGGGAGAGCCCAACTTAGAGGGACCCGGCTAAAGGAAGACCATCATGCGACACAACTAGGGTACTGTACAGGGTAAAGTGGTAAAAGGGTGGCGACGTCTGAAATAGGCAGAGCTAATCGTGACGAAGTCCATGAAGCTCTTGATGACGTCCACGATGAGAAGTCCGGAATGTCGTCGAGGAAGAGCCGCAACGTCGACAAGCTGAAGTAGCAAAACTGGAGTGGATGGAGTACTGAGAAGTCAAAGACGTGGGAAGGTAAGTCAGAGTCAATCGTCGTATCGAGCAGGACGACGACGAGTGCGTTGTGGACGCTCGGAAGCATCCGGCTGCTGCTGAAGGTCTGCCTCAGATGGAGCAGGCTCGACTTCAGCGGTCTCCTCGGCCGGGGGAGAAGGAGGAGGGTCAGTGGGCTGAGGAGGAGCAGTGAACCCAGCACGACGAGCACGGTCATAGGCACGCACCAACATGCGAGCGTGTTGCAAGTGCTCGAGGGGCTCCCAAGTGGCCTCCTCATCAGGGTAACCCTTCCACCGTACGAGATACTCGACGTGGGGAGGGTTGTCGTCGGTGACTCAGCGACCAATGATGTCTGAAACGAGGAACTCCTCGTGGCCGTCCACCATGAGGGGTGGAGGGCGCTCGTATGGTCGTCCAGCGAAACGCTCAGACGGTCTGCGGTAAGGACGCAGTAACGAGACGTGGTGGACATCGTGCACACGAGCCTGGCGTAGGTAGTCGGGCAGCTTCACACGAAAGTTGACCGGGCTAGAAGCCGTATCAGAACCGACAGCCTGGTGGATGCAGCATGGTCCAACGAAGCGACGCCGAAACTTGCGAAGCGTGTCCGCTTCGAGCTATAAGTGGCGGGTGTCGATAAGCACATCATCACCGACTTTGAATGGATGATCCATCCTCGATCGGTTCGCACGTGCTGCCATGCGAGTCTGGGAAGCGGCTATGTGCTCATGTGCGGTCTTCATGATCGACGTCATGTGTGCAACCCAGTCATCCAGCGCGGGACAACTCGTGTCGGGGTGCATCTGCGACGGTCGAAGAAAGTCCGCGGGAACACGAGGGTGATAGCCGAGGTCGCAACAGTAAGGCGACATCCCCGTGGCTGGTGAGACGGCGTGGTTGTAGGCTATCTCCGCGTGGGCAAGATGGAGATCCCACTGCTGGTCGTCACGAACGATCTTTCGGATAATATCTCCGAGAGTCCTATTCGTGATCTCGGTCTGACCATCAGTCTGAGGATGGTAAGACGAGGAGAAGCGGAGATGAGTGTCGTACACCTCGTGGAGCCGTCGTCAGAATCGGCTGGTAAAGCGTGGGTCACAGTCAGATATGATGCTCAGAGGTAAGCCGTGGTCATGCACGACTCGGTCAAATACGATGTCGGCGACCACACGTGCACTGATGGCATAGCGACACGGAACAAAGCGTGCACGCTTCGTGAAGGGGTCGACGACGATCAGGATAGCATCATGACCGCGAGGGGTCGGAGGACGAAGGGGACTGAGAAAGTCCATCGAGATGGACTGCCAACGACCCTCAGGGAGGAAGAGGCTGGAGCAAACCATAAGGAAGGTGGTTCGCACTGTTCACCTCCTGCCTGGTCATGGAACTCTGCTATTTCTTGGACACGTAGCTGTCCTGTGGAGGGAACCTAAATATGGAGCTCTCTGGTGCCCTGTGAACCATGCCAGTACACGAGACCATTGTCCCCGAGAGAGTAGTTCGGGACGGTCTTGCCACTCCGAAGGGTCGCGTGGATGTCGCGATAGTCAGGGAAGTGGCGGCTGAGTGCGAAACTCATCGATCACCGAGTGGTGGACGGTGGTGATCGAGATGGAATAGAGCTGGATCTGCTCCTGATCGTGGTCAGGGTGCCGGGATAAGGCATCTGCGACCCGATTAGTCTCACCCTTGATGTGCTCAGTGGTGAAACTAAACTCGGATAGGTCGCGCCACCAGCGAGCCTATCGCGGAGTCAGCTTCGGCTTTGTCAGAAAAGCCTGGACAACAGAGTTGCCCGTGCGCACCGTGAACGGTGCCCCGTGCAGGTAGTGACGCCAGTGCCGAGCGGCATAAACTACTGCGAGAACCTCACGTTCATCAGCAGTGTAGGTTTATCTCGGCGAGCAAAAGATGACGGGAGTAGAAGGCTATCGGACAATCACCTGAGCGAGACTCGACAGTGTCGTCCTCGACGATGGTAGGGGAATAGTCAAGGGAAGACTCGTCAGTAGCTGGACGAGTAGGCGTCAGTCGGGAAGCAGTGGTAGGAGTAGGTGGTGGGAAGCGAGGGATACGAGGATGAGAGGAATCAGGAGAGGAGGGGAAGATCTGAGAAAGCACTGCTCCTACAACAAAGTCTGACGCATCGGTGGTAAGGATAAAAGGGCGATCAAAATCGGGTAGATGAAGAACCGGTGCGCATGTCACCGCCTTCTTGAGGGCGCGGAAGGCGTCCTCGTGGAGGGGTGTCCAAACCCAGGGTGGGTTCTTCCGGAGGAGGGTGGAGGTAAGAACGTAGGAATACCTAGCGTATCCCCGGATGAAATTACTATAGTAGCTGGTCAGGCCTAGGAAGCTGCGAAGCTGCTTGGCGGATGTGGGAGCGGGCCACTCCGCAATAGCAGTGATCTTCGCGTCGTCCATGTGGAGACCTTGGTCAGACACGTAGTGTCCTAAGAAATTCACTTTGTGCTGGGAAAAGCGGCACTTACTCAACTTGGCGTAGAAGCCATGTCAGCGCAAGCGGTCAAGGACGGCGCGGAGGTGTCTGAGGTGTTCCTCAAGGGTACGGCTGTAAACCAGGATATCGCCGAGGTAGACGAGAACGTACTGCTCCAGGATGTCCCTGAAGATGTCGTTCATCGCCCTCTGAAAGGTAGCGGGTGCGTTGGTGAGGCCGAAGGGCATCACTGTAAACTCGTAGTAGCCGAAGCGCGATCGGAACGCGGTCTTCGGCTGGTCGGCTGCAGCGACGCAGATCTGATGGTAACCGCTACGAAGATCAATCTTCGTAAAGAAGTGGTTGCTTGCTAGGCAGTCGAACAGCTCATCGGAACGAGGCATGGGGTAGTTGTTCTTAACCGTATAGCGGTTGAGACCGCGGTAGTCGATGCAGAGACGAAGAGTTCCATCAGAGTTGCTGGGTTTAATGAAACCCAGTCTTAGGAGCTCCACAAGTTGACGCTTGAGTTCGGTGGCCTCGGGGATCGAGAGTCTGTAGGGTGCCTGGTGGTGAACACGATAGTCAGGCACAAGCTCAATGGAGTGCTCGACGTCACGCATCGGTGGGATGCCGGCGTACGAGAGTGACGATGGGAAAACGTCATGGTACTCTCGGATGAGGTCACGAACTGTGGGCTCCAGGTCAGCTGTATATCGTGCGAGTTCCTCAGCGTCAGCGTCAGCGCTCAACGGCGGGGTGGACTCGACGAACGGCGGAGGGACGGAAGTAGAGATGGGAGTCATGGAGATAGAAGGAGGATCTGGCTCCAGAGGGATGAGCTCGGTGTCGGGACAGGGTGGATCATAGTGTAAAAGATCCGTCACGTTCACCATAAAGAAGGTGACGTCGTCCTGTCGGATGAAGTAGGCGAACTGCCAAGGCGAAGTGACAGTGATAGAAGGAGATGGTGTGGGCACGGAAGGCTCCGGGGGACGAGGATCGGGGCGTGGTGTCGCATTGGTACCTATGAAAGGTACGTGATACGTCTGTCCATACTTCGTTTTGAGAACGAGAGTGTTGGTCGCCCAATCGGCCTCGGTGCTGCAGAACCGACGAGACCACGTAGTGTCGAGAATGAAGTCGTACCCCGTCTGAGCCGTCTCCATCACATCGAAATGTGCAGAGGAGCGGTGGCGACGAGACGCCGGGGAACGATCAGTCGGCTCGAGAGTGAGGAAGAAAGGGAGGTCAGTGACCGTCTGATCGAAGAAGCGCTGGGTCTTGTCATCCCCTAAGGTAACGGAGATGGGAGTCGGAAACCCTGTCGTAAGCGGTGTGAGGAAACCCGGGGAGAGGCGCCTACTGTTCGCTGAAGCCAAGGGGTACGACGCCTGTCACTCGCCACGCCCGCTTCAGAGGTGCTCAGAGACCAGCAGGGTTTGGAGCATCGTGTTTCCCTTCGCATTTCTTTTTTCTTAATGCCAGTAGGATCATCAGCCCCAGAGAGCAAAATCAAGGCTCACTTCAGGGGATCAGTTCGAGAGTTCACTTTACAAATTTTTGTTTGTATCACAGCAATCAGGAACAAAGGCAACTGTTCAGATTGGCCTTGCTTTGCAGAATCCAGGTTGGGCGTTCATACCTCAACTTGGAGTTCGGATTCACAATAGTCATTTGCGATTGCAGTGAGTCAAATCAAGTTCATTTCACAAAATGTAGTTCGAGTATTCAAGCAATCATCTACTAGCCCCGTTCGCAATAGTCATCAGCGATTGCTGCGAGTCAAATCAAGTTTCATTTCACAAAATGCAGTTCGAGTACCTAAGCAATCATTTCTCCCTTTTCATCTTCCCTCACCACCATCGAGTAACAGTAGTGTCTAAGGCCAACACTCTCTCACACACCACACACAACGCACTCACAAGCGCACTCACACCCGTGCTGTGACGCCCGAACCTCACGCCCAGTTTGACTTCCTGATTGGAGTAGGATGTGGGCCTGGAAGTGCGAAAAGGGGTGTGCCAAGGATTTTTGGGATAGTGGGGGTGGAGTCCCAGGTCAGAACTGAGATCTGTTGTGGCAGAGTTTTTCGGAGGCACAGGTGCAATTTGGCAGAGAGGGCGGACCGCTTCCGGTCATCAGGCAGATGGCATGTGCATGTTATTCAAGACCGTGCGATCCATCTGTTTTGAGGACGGCGGTTCGTCGAAGAATCCCTCCAGGGTGGGTGTGGTTCCGATGAGTCAGCCCGTCGGACGTCGCCACGTGGTGCTGGTCGGTGTACGCTCGGGTTAGGTCCTCGGGTTTTTGGGGCTCTCTGATTGCCGCATCGCCGACAATTTCCGCAGGGCGTGCGGGGCCAGTATGGGGCTATGGCGTTCCACGAGATGACTCTGAGTTGATGGTACGGAAGGAGAAGACGGAAGGGAGGTAAGTTACTGGAGATAATGACAAAACCGGGGGAAATAAAGTAGTGGGTGTGGTCTCAAGTAGGGAAATCCGAGCACCGGGGGTCGCTGGTTATGGCGCAGTGAAACTCCCCAGGACACAGTCGATTCTCCGTTAGGCAGCGGAATCTCTTACGGAATGATTAGATGATCGGATATTTGTTTTGCCCCGAAGTCGGCGAACGCCTCGCAAGGGCGCGTATACACGGGATCTGATCTGCCCCTTTACACGTGTCTACGCACGTCGATTCGCCACCGCCGAAAAGGACTGACGATAGTGGGGATGTTGCCTGATTGAATGTGGCCATTCTGCGTCAGCAACGAAGCCATCATCCCGCGTGAACATGTATAAGAGCGACTCGATTTGCGTGGCCTGCACGTGCTCACACGTGGTGATCGCAATCGGCAAAACGCCCTTTGTGAATCCCGCGGCCCTACGATGACATAATGACACGCTCTGAGAGCTCAGAGTCGTTGTATGACCCGGAATACTTCACCCCTTGAAAATAATGCAAAGGAGACCCGTAATGAATCTTCCGCAAAAACGCGGATAGGTCCTTTCGCTTTCACCATGTTATTTTCCTCCCCGACTACTCTCGGCACACCATCTGTCTGTCGATCCCAACACCTCCATCTGTTTCGCCCGGGGCAAAGCCCCGAGATCGAGCCCCCTTTTCGTTTAAACGCCGTAAAAAACGAAGGAGCCAACGTATCCCCTCACCCTTCCTCCCTAGTCCGCCATCTCCACACAGCTCACTTCCCTAGTAGTCTCTCTTTCCACTCACCTTTTCGCTAATTCTAACGCTTCCAACAGATTCGCCCTGCTAACAAACCTCTGCCTAGAGTTTTTCCTCGCTCGTTTTTATCAAGAAACGAGCGCGATGTAGCTTTTTCCCGTTTTCTCTCGCGACCGAGCTCGAGGCGGAGACGCGTCGGCACTCAGGCGGTTACTTGCGTGTGTGAGTGAGAAGGGGACTGCACAGCGAGAGCGAGAGATTGTGTGTGTGCGGGAGAGAGAGAGAGAGAGAAGGATGAGACTTTGTGCACAGCAGAGAGAGAGAGAGAGAAGCGGACTCTGTTCATTGGTAGATCAATCACTCCCTGCCTATTGGTTGATCAAACAGTCAGCGGATCAGAGGCTGGAACAGGCCAATTAGGCAGGCGCGCAAGTCAGGGGGATATGAGAAAGAAAAGCTACGCTGCTGAAGACAGCCTTTCTAAGCAGTTGTTCTCTCGAATATAACGCGAAGTATCCCCAAATACAACTTTGATGACCCTGTGTTCTAATCGAGAGAAACGAAACTAGTAAAGGCACACGAGYGGGACACCAAGACACACACACGCAAAGAGAGAGAAAGTACCCTAGTCGAGAAAGAGAAAGTTCGCTGGTGGTCGGTGGTGGAAAGAAAGTGAGAATGTGGAAAAAAAGAGAGATATGGTGGCCTGCCAGTGTGCAAAGGACGAAGGAATATGGTTGTGTCTATTGGTGATTACAAGGGGCTGCCTTAGCATATGACAAATCAAGATCATGGATGCGGATCTTTACTTGATCTGGGAACAGTTGCTCACGACCTTAGTCGTGAGAACACCGGCGACCGTGAGTACAGTGCACGACAAATCAGAGTGGCTGTTGTTGCCGTTTACTTTTCCCATGTTCTAGCAACGGGATCATTTCGCAGCTTTATTGATAAGTCCCCCAGGGAAATGGCAGTGCGGGCTGTCGTGCTCCAGATTATGAGACTTGGCAATGCATCTTTTCATCATCTAACGGATTCTAACCAAATATACAGTTCCATTTTAGTGAAAGAACGGGCTGCTGCGGTGCTTGGACAGACGGTCATACAACGAGGTATCCTCTAATATCCTAGGAGAAGGCATACACCTCCTTACTCTCCTTGATGGAAAAGCGGTACATTAGGACCCAAGATAAGACAAACGCATCTTTCCTTTTCATATTTATTTATTTATTCATTGTGAAAATAACCTTGCATGTATTGCAGCCAGAAAGAAGTAGGGAGAACTTGAGAGACTGTGCAAAGTGAGAGAGTGACGGCACAGCAGAGAGTGAGCGGAGAATGGCACCGCGAGAGAGAGAGAGAGAGAGAGAGAGAGAGAGAGAGAGAGAGAGAGAGAGAGAGAGAGAGAGAGAGAGAAGCGGACTCTGTTCATTGGTAGATCAATCACTTCCTGCCTATTGGTTGATCGAACAATCAGCGGATCAGAGGCTGGAAAAGGCCAATTAGGCAGGCGCGCAAGTCAGGGGGATATGAGCGAGAGAAGCGGACTTTGTTCATTGGCAGGTCAATCACTCCCTGCCTATTGGTTGATGAAACAGTTATTCACAGATCAATCACTCTCTGCCTATTGGCTGATCAAAGAGTCATTCGCTAATCAAACAGTCATTCACAGATCAGTCGTTCTCTGCCTATTGGCTGATCAAAGAGTCATTTGCTAATCAAACAGTCATTCACAGATCAGTCGTTCTCTGCCTATTGGCTGATCAAGCAGTTTCTGTTCATTGGCAGGTCAATCACTGCCTGCCTATTGGCTGATCAAACAGTCATTCACWGATCGAATACTCTCTGCYCAKTGACTGGTCAAGCAGTCTCTGTTAAATGGCAAATCAAGAATTATCATTGGCAGATCGACTTTTCATAAGGTAATCAGGTATTCACTGTCTATTGGCGGACACTCATACAGTGCATTCAAAGAGATGTTATGTCCCAAGTGTTTGTGCTGAATTATTATTAACTCTTACTCACATAATCCGCCTCTTTCCGCTGGCGCGCTTCCGCGTATTTCATTTTGTCGAATTGCCCTTCGCTCGAGCAAACTTCCAAGTACAGGCCTACGGGCAATAATTGTATCTTTAGTCCAACAAATCAGAAAAATTATAAGACCTTCAAGGGTTGAGCCAGATATCAACTTTACGAAGCATCCCNGCTAATCAAACAGTCATTCACAGATCAGTCGTTCTCTGCCTATTGGCTGATCAAGCAGTTTCTGTTCATTGGCAGGTCAATCACTGCCTGCCTATTGGCTGATCAAACAGTCATTCACWGATCGAATACTCTCTGCYCAKTGACTGGTCAAGCAGTCTCTGTTAAATGGCAAATCAAGAATTATCATTGGCAGATCGACTTTTCATAAGGTAATCAGGTATTCACTGTCTATTGGCGGACACTCATACAGTGCATTCAAAGAGATGTTATGTCCCAAGTGTTTGTGCTGAATTATTATTAACTCTTACTCACATAATCCGCCTCTTTCCGCTGGCGCGCTTCCGCGTATTTCATTTTGTCGAATTGCCCTTCGCTCRAGCAAACTTCYAAGTACARGCCTAYGGGYAATAATTGTATCTTTAGTCCAACAAATCAGAAAAATTATAAGACCTTCAAGGGTTGAGCCAGATATCAACTTTACGAAGCATCCCTGTTCGTTTGGTTCTGGCTTAGTAATGGTTGTTTGACGAGGTGCAAAGGAGAATACTTAAACCCGCTACAGCGGACGCATGGGAGTCAGTCGGAACGCTATCCCCTACTGGTCGCTGAGGACCTCGGAAGTGGGCGCAGCGAGTGACAGGCGCTGTTGCCCTTGGTTTCAGCGAACAGTAGGCGCCCCTCCCTGGGTTTCTCCACAACTTTGGCGCCGTTGCCGGGGAGGGGACTGCACCCCCAAGGCCACGGCCTTCCCCAATCAACGGGGGTGCAAAAATGAAACTAATTAGCTTTTAAAAAGTTGATTAGTTGATTTTTTAAAATTTTTCTTTAATTCTGTATTTTGTTTTTTTTCCCTTTATCTCTCGATCCGCGCGTTTTCGTGCGAGGCACGCCAGGAGCAAAGTTCGTCTCCTCGTCGAGGCGAACGTTTTGAGACGTTTGTTTTTAATTTTTAATGGCTAGAAAAAGAGATATAATGTTTTTTGTATTTTCTAATTAAAAATCCAAAAAATCATGAGTTTAAATTTTTAATTCGTTTTTTTTTTTGATATCTCCCGATCCGCGCGTTTTTGCGCGAGGCGCAGCGGGAGCAAAGTTCGACCTCCCGTCGAGGCAAACGTGTTGAGATGTTTTTTGAAAAATTCTAACGGCTAGAAAAAGAGATATGAATTTTTTTGTATTTTTCTAATTAAAAATCCCAAAAATAATTGATTAAAATTTCTAATTGGTTTTTCCTCGATATCTCCTGATCCGTGCGTTTTTGCGCGAGGCGCACGGGGAGCAAAGTTCGACCTCTTGTCGAGGAGAACGTTTTGAGATATTTTTTGAAAAATTGTAATGGCTAGAAAAGGAGATACAAAATTTTAGAAAATCATGAATTTCCTTTTATTTTAATTACGAAGAAAAGAAGCGAAATTAGGTGAACCCCACCCAGACCAAAGTTGGTCCTTGTATTTTTCTCGACATCTTGAGACCTTAGTCGGGGAAAACGGACTCCGTTTGGACGAGTGGTGACCGCCGACAGACAGGAAAAGAGGGAAAAATTAAGAGGAGTTAGTGATTTTCTCTATATTTTTATAAAAATAAAAGGGAAACAGAAGTCGGCAAAAGTGATCCGTTGGAACCCGGCTTTTAACTGACTACAAACCGACGGAAAATTTTCTGCCTCGAGAAGTCGGACGTGGTGGCGTGCGGTCGCGCGCAAAACCCCAAAACCGTAATTGGGGGAAACCCTAATTAGGGTAAACCCTAACCCTAAGTTAGGGAAGGGCGGTGCGTAGCCGGGCGGATACAAGTC